CCCAGATGTTCGCAGTTCATGAATCACTAAAAAATTTTTTTGACTAGAAAGCTCACATAGATTTGGTAAAAAAGGGCATTTCACACCCACATTTCAAAAAATAAAGGACTTTTACCTGGAAAGAAGGCAGAGGATAGCATCTCACAATGAAGGGGCATCTTCTAATGTAAGTTGAGCTTAATGAGAGACAATGCATTAGCTGTATTTTCGTGACTTTGAGAGCACAGTGGTGCCAGAATTAAACGTGTGGTAATCGACAGTGCCTGGAACAGGCCTGACATGTGGTCAGTGTCAGTGGACATTAGTGATGGCCATTGATACCAGTGCTTTCAATTTAAATGGATGTACTTTTTATTTAACTTAAGTAGATTTATCCCAGGAGGGAAACATGCATTACTCTGGTAAATTGGAAAACGAGTTTGATTGGCTACAAATGGAGACTTGCCTTCAAAACACAACAATGAAATTGAAATAATGAAATCAAGTCCCAGGGAGCTCATGCTGCCTTCTGAAGCCTGTGAGTATAAAATTGTTCTCTCATAAAAAAGGGAAATTATTCAGTCAGAAAATTATCAATAACAAAGCACGAATGGAGACTTCCTTTTGAAAACTTTAAGGCAGAAAAAAGGGAAAACGTTCGTCTTCTCAGTGTGTCCATCATGGCATGTGAAGAGGGTAATTATAATCCAGGCAAACAATCAGAAATATAATACATGTTAGCAGAAAGAAAAAAAAAAATCCAATTGACCATGCCTCCACTGCCGGGGGCCCGGTTCAATCCCTGGTCAGGGAGATAAGACCCCCAAGCCACACGGTGCGGCCACAACAAACATACAAACAAAATCTAATTGAATAGTAACATACAAGGATAAGTAGACGATGTTAAAATAGCTTTTACAAATATCCTACATTTGTTCTTGGAAGTCTACAAAAGAAAGATCTTGATAAAGGTAATCCATGTCCATCAGTCTGAGCAATCAACATTTTATTTTATTTTTTCATATTTATTTATTTTCATATTTATATATTTATTTAAGTCCCCCCACACAGTTCTTTATGTCAGAGGAAAAAAATGCAGTAGAAAAGATGACTTAGGACTTGTTTTTGGTTAAGGGTAAGGATTATTTAAAAACCAAAAGGTGGGACTTCCCTGGTGGCACAGTGGTTAAGAATCCACCTGCCAATACAGGGGACACAGGTTCGATCCCAGGGAAGAACCTACATGCCGTGTAGCAACTAAGCCTGTTTGCCACAACTACTGAGCCTACACTCTAGAGCCCGGGAGCCACAACTACTCAGCCCTCGCACCTCCAGCCCGTGCTCCGCAACAAGAGAAGCCACTGCAATGAGAAGACCACGCGCCTCAAGGAAGAGTAGCCCCTGCTCTCCACAGCTAGAAATAGCCTGCGCACAGCAACAAAGACCCAATGCAACCAAAAATAAATTAATTTATAAAAATAAACAAAAATAAATAGATAAAAACACAAAGGTCATCAACCAAAGAAAATAAATTAATTGAAGCTTAATCAAAATTAAAACTTTGCTTTTCAAGAGATAGTTAAGAAAGTAAGAACTCAAGTCACAACCTAGAGAAAGATATTTGTAAGAACTATCTCTGAAAAATGACTGTGATTCTCAATATGTAAATGGTCCTTATAACAATAACGAAAAATAACACAATTCAAGATATTCGCAAAACTTCTGAAGGCATGTGTCACCAAAGAAGTATAAATGGTAAATAAGAAAATGAAAATATGCTTCTCCTTATTACTCAGCATTGTAAACGCATTTTAAAGCCACAGTGAGGGACTACTACACACTCATTGGAATGACTAAAATTCAAGCACTGACAATTTCAAGTTAATGAAGAGATGAAACAGCTACAACTCATATATTTCTTGAGGGAATACAAATTGATAAATAACTTTAGAAAATACTGTTGTACTCTCTTGTAATGCTATACATACACATATCATACGACACGGTAATCTCAATTGTAGGTATATCCTTAAGAAAAATTAAATCTTATGACTCAGGAATACTTCGGTGGAAATATTCACAGTAACAGCAGCTTTATTCATAAAAGCCAAAAAACAATATAACGTTTGTGATTTTACTTTTTTTCCCCCCGTCATGTGTTAAAATATCTAAACTAGTCCCAAGACAGAGTGGCTCATGCTAAGACCCAAATCTGAATGCTGAAACTTACTTCAATTTCTATTTCTTGCAGATATCTGGCTCTTTCAGGAGCGGAAATCTAAGGCCAGCCAATCAGAATATGCCTGATAAGCTTTAGTTTTTCACAACCTTGTTCCAAAACTTCCCTGTGCCCCACATAAAGAAAATTAACCTTTCTATGACCAATCAGCTATTGCCTAGTATGAATTCCTTGTTCTCAAGTATTTTTGTCTATGTAATCTATGTATTCTGAATAGCTCTTCAGAGCTCCTCTCTATTTTCTAGACTGGATGCTTTCCAGTTCATGAGTCACTACGTAAAAGCAAACTATATCCCAAAATTAAAGTCTGTGAAATTTTCTCTTAACATGTATTAAGTTTTTTTCGTAATTGTATAGGTTTGCATGGTCTGAATTTTTAAAACTTATTTATTTTTGGCTGCTTTGGGTCTTCATTGCTGCAAGTGGGCTTTTCTCTAGTTGCGGCGAGTAGTAGCTACTCTTCGTTATGGTGCTCAGGCTTCTCGTTGTGGTGGCTTCTCTTATTGTGGAGCACGGGCTCTAGGCGCGGGGGCTTCAGTAGTTGTGGCACATGGGCTCAGTAGTTGTGGCTCCTGGGCTCTAGAGCGCAGGCTCAGTAGTTGTGGCACATGGGCTTAGTTGCTCCGTGGCATTGAATTTTTTTAATTCAATTTTACATTCAAATCTTGAAATCTTTCTTTGCTTCTTTTTTTTTTCATGCTTTTGGTAGGTATAGCAGTGCTACTTAGAGATATCTGACATGTTTTCTTATTGATACACTGGTTTACGTAGTGCATGTATCAATAGAAAGTATTTTTTGCACAAAGGGGCAGAGGTGTAAAGTAACTGCATAACGCTAAACACTTCTGCAAAGTAATTTTAATAGATATCCAATGGCAGTTTGTGATATTTACTAATTTCTTTAGTTTTACCAACATTTGGTAATGTCAGACTTCCTTAGGCTCATCAATCTGATTCGTTTCATTTTCATTTTCCTAATGGAAAATAAGACTACTTTTTAAAAAATGTTGTTTGCTTTCATAATTCTAATCTGAAGTGACATAGAAGAATTTTGCCTTCTCAGGTTTTAAATCTTTCATTTGTAGTAATTATCGAATTTATTTATTATTTATATATTAAATCTTTAATAATTTATAGATGTCTCAATATCTTCCTAAGTGTTTTCTTGTCATTTCAATTTTTACGTTTTTTTAAAGAAGTCTGTTATTATCATATAGTTTGTGTACATGCTGTGATAATTTTTATATTTGCTTTGAGAAGTCCTGCAAGGCATGCCAAATTAATAGTGTTGTGAAATGTGAAATAAAAAGGAGTCACTTCTGTCAAGGGATTTTTAAAAAATTATATATATATTTTTTAATTAATTAATTTATTTATTTATGGCTGCATTGGGTCTTCTTTTCTGCGCGCGGGCTTTCTCTAGTTGCGGCGAGCGGGGGCTACTCTTCGTTGTGGTGCGCGGGTTTCTCATTGTGGTGGCTTCTCTTGTTGTGGAGCACAGGCTCTAAGTGCACAGGCTTCAGTAGTTGTGGCACGTGGGCTTCAGTAGTTGTGGCACGTGGGCTTCAGTAGTTGTAGCTCGTGGGCTCTAGAGCGCAGGCTCAGTAGTTGTGGCGCATGGGCTTAGTTACTCAACGGCATGTGGGATCTTCTCGGACCAGGGCTCGAACCCGCGTCCCCTGCATTGGCAGGCGGATTCTTAACCACTGCACCACCAGGGAAGTCCCCTGTCAAGGGATTTTTTAACATGGAGCTGGGAGGCTATTAATTAGTGGACCTCCTGCACTTCCCCATCTTGTGAAACCATGATCTTTTGATCTGGGCCAACCTGCAAATATTCCAAGGATTCTGCAAAAACACCTGCAACTTGTCACACTAATGGACTATTACTTCCCTGTAGTGATAGCCTTAGCACTCAGTCCAGTTCAGCGGAGACTAGCTTCTGCCTCCAACTCCAATTAAAATTCTTTGTAATGCAAACCTCTCTTTGTCTTTAAAAGCTCCTTACTTTTATTCCCTAGCCCACACCCCCGCCCCACCCCCACCCATCCCCAAACCCCCAACCCCCGTGAAACCGGTCCCCTGTGCCAAAAGTGTTGGGGACCGATGGCCTAACCCGACATCTTTTTTGTTGCTACTTAAGTGTGTGCCCCGAATTGCAATTCTTTGGTCTCAAGGTAACGCGTTGTGCTTGATTATTGTCTCTCAGGTTAATTTAGGTTGACAGTATCCACTATACAGTTATGTTTTCTAATTTCATGTATTTCTTTTTAGCCAATGATCAACATACTTTATTGCACATAATTCCCTTTTTTATTCCAAAATCTTATTAACTTGGTTTTTCTTATTTTAAAATACTTCCAAGGTTTTCATAAAAAACAAAAACAACAAATAAGGACTCTGGCTACTCTCAGTCTTTACACAACTGGAATGCTTTTTTTCTAATCTTGTATCAACTTTTATGTTGAGAAATGAGAGTTAAATCAGAATTTTAAAAAGATTAAACATACAGGGTTTGATGGGTCTGCTTTGATGTGTTGTTCTTCCCGCACGGACTTGGCCGATTAGTGCCCCGGAGTTTGGGGGAGGGTCTCCTCCGCTCCCGACTCGGTGGACCGATGGGAACTACATTACCCAGGAGACTGTGTGCGGACCGGCCTTGTTCTCCACACCAGTGATGACCCCGAACAGGGGCTCTTCCGGGATTGTGAACTAGGGGTGGGCGGGACTTCCGGCTCCTTCCTGAAGGAGGCCATTTGGCTGCTTTTGCTGCCGTCTGCAGGACCCGAGACTCAGGATCACTCGGTGGAGCCGAGCTTAGAGAAACTGGAAAGAACCCGAGGGGCGCCGTCCACACTGCCCAGGAGTGAGCGGGTTGCGGAACCCGCTTCCGGGATTTTCGGCCTAGGTCTCCGCCATTATCCTGCGCGTCTCCTGACACCACCGCCCCCACAGGGTCCTATGTCAACCAACGCGGTGCAGGACCCGGCCCAGGTGACTGTCCCGCCCCCCCACCCGATCCTGACCCAAATCTCAAGCCCCCAGGGAGGGTCTCCTGCTCAGGGCACCGGGGTTCAGTCCCCTGCTTCCAGAACTTTAGGTGTGCGTGTGTGGTGGTTCCATTTCTGACAGGCTGTGTGACGCAGTGTGGGGCGTGTTAAAGGCTGTGGGTTTGGCCCGTGCAAAGACTTGGAGGTGCTCAAGAGCCGGGAGCATTCGGGAAACCTGGGGTTCCAGTCATTTCTGCAGGGAACAGAGAATTTAGGGAGGAGTCAACAGTCTGGGCCAACTGTCAGCATTCTGGGTGCTGCGGAGGGTTGTGAATAAATCAGGAACGCGGTCTGAGTTAGAGTTTTAAAGTATTCCAAAGGCTGCTCAGGGGAGAACAGACTGGAACAGACTCTGTTCTGAGGGTGGAGGCAGGGAGACCTGGGAGAGCCCAGTGCATTCCACTCCAGAGAGTAAGGTGACTTCTGGACCAGAGTGGTGCCTATGGAAATTGTTGACCTGAAACAAATAGACTGCCCGCTATTTCTATTGCAAAGATGGTTCCCCCCCTCCGCCCCTGCCCTCCTTCCCATCCTCCTCCCCCCCCAACCATCATTAGGGAATTGCAATTGGGGTGTGCAGCTATGGTGAGCTATCACTTTTATGGAGATTAAAAAAGGATGTTAGAAGGGCTGTAGCCACCAAAGAGTCCATGGGTTTTTTGGTTTTTTTTTTTAAAGAGTCCATGGCTTTGCTTTTCATTGGCTGAGTCCTTTCCAGGAAAGAAGGAGTCTTCATCCTTTTGGGTTCCGTTATTGTTTCAGGTCAGTGAGGGCTGACCCCTTCTGGTATGCCAACTCTAATTGAGGTTTCTGTTTACTAATTTTTTACGAAGGAATATAAGTAATAAGATTCTTAATAATTCTTAAAGATAATTAGCAGGATTTCCTGGTGCAGTGAATGTGGCTCTGACCTAAGGACAGAGTAAAGGACAATAAGCATTTTCTTTTGGCTGAGCATCTGGAAGACTTGAGACCAGCAACTGATGTGAGAAGTCAGTTTCAGGGAGAGATTAAAAGTTGGATTCGGGACATGCTGCTTCTGAGATTCCAAAATTGAGGTAACATAGGGGCCGGTGGAATCTGTAGTCTGGAATTGAAGGAGGAGGTCTGTGGCTCACTGATGTCCATGTGGTTACAGACTAAGTCCTGGACTCCAGCCAATTCTGAATCTCAAATTTAAGAGGGAAAGTTTGGTCACTTTTCTGGGAAAGGGGACCTGAGATGAAAGAAGAGAGACCTGGGGCTGGCGGGCAGTGCAGAGCAGGTGAGACTTTCATAGGCTACCTGAAGATGGGAGGGTCCTGTGGTTCCAGAGCTTTCTGGGGAAGCAAGGGTATAAGGAGTTACGAGTATTGCCTGGAATGGAGATGGAGAAGGATGTGTTAGATTGTGTAGATTCACTCCTCTGAACACTTAGCCGACTGTGCATTCGTTTTTGAGCCAGCAAAAAGTGGGCAATGTTGACCAGTCATTGAAGCCCAGGCCCAGTCAAGGGCAGAGGTGCCTCAGCTCTCCCAGGAAACTACAAAGTTAAAAAGGTATAGATTTAATAAGTTAATCTTGTGTAAGCAAATAATAACTGCATAATATATCTGTGTATAAAATAATAATAAATACATATATATATAAAATTTAGTTTTTGCCTTGGGCTCTTCACATAGACCTCTGAACCCCTTGGAATTTCCTGGGGGTTAGGACTTTTATTCACAACGACCCCGTTTTGTCACACAGGAGTTTATTACAATGAGGTGACTTAGGGCAGGGCCCCTAGGTAGACTCAGGAGGGGACTGGTCACCAGAAAAACCAAGCAATTGGAAGTTTATACTCCCCCCAACCCCCCAACCCTGGGGCCTCCCAAGGATCAGAAGGAAACTAGAGACTAGGTATAAAAACTGCTGAAGAATGAAATTCAAAGTTCCTTCAGATTGGTGAACACATTGAAATTGCGGAAGTGCTGGGAGGGTGGCATGTACTGAAAGGGCCTGGAAACACCCTGGTGCCCTCTAGCGCCCCACCCCCCCAGACCTAGATATCTCTTCCATTGGGCTGTTCCTAAGTTGTATCCATTATAATAAACCAGAGAAATAAGAAAACTGTTTTCCTAACTTTTGTGGGTCCTTTTAGCAAATTATCATAACTTAGGAAAGGTTCATGGGAAATCCTGAATTTGTAGCCAAGTAGAACAGAAGTACCGTTAGCCTGGGAACCAGACATTGGAACTGGCCTCTTTAAAGAGGGCAGTCTTGTGGGACTGAGTCCTTAAACCTTTAAATTCTGTCCCTAACCTCAGGTAGTGTCAGAATATGATTAAATGTCAGTCACCCAGTTGGTATCATAGAATCAGATCATTGGTGGTGGAAGAGACATCATATATTTGGTGTCAGATAGGGAATCACAGAAACCTCAAGGTATTGATTAAAAGTCACATTTATATAATGACTTGAAAGACATGTAGGAAATACCCAGTTTTCAAAAACATTTACAGAAATGTTAATCCTGTGTTCTGTAATAGCTCAGTCTTAGCATTAGATGTGCACTAATGCATTTGATGTCTACACTAACATCATGAGATAGGCACCATAAATATTGCTATTATACACATAAAGACACTGAGTCTCAGGGATGTTGAGTCTTTTTGTTCAGGGCCATAGAGTTGTCAAGTTATAGCTCTGAAGACTGAGGACCCGAGGTCAGAGGTCAACCTCAGATGACTCATCTCCAGGAAAAGGAAGGGAGGAAACAGTTCAGCCTTTACATCCACACCATGATCACCTTTATCTCCGATCCTCCCTCTTTTCACAGGTTCCCATGGTAGCAGCAGCATTTATGGCCCCTGGACAGGTAAGTGGAAGAAACCCCAGTACCTACCCACACGTCATCCCTACCCCTGGTCCTGACACACAGATATAGGAGACAGTGTTGTCCTGGGATTGTGGGCCCTTAGGTCTGGGCCCTGGCATCATCTCAGGCACAGGACCATTAATCAAAGCCAGAAGTTGTATGGAGGTGTTCCCATGTGTCCAATGGAGAAGGTCAAGTGGTAACATGTCCTTGGGCACAGACTGGAGATGAGACTGAGAGGGGAGTCTTCAGGGAACTGCCAAACCCATGACATGGGCTGATAAAGACTGGGGGCATGAGTCATTCCTGGGATAGCAGCCTGAGGAGCTGGGCCTCTACTGAGGGGGCGGGTCCATGACACGTTGGCCACAGAGGAGGGAAGTGATCTGACGCTGGGTCTGAAGAGGCTGTTCTGCCTGCCGAGAGGAAGACTGGGGGTGAGGGTGGAGCCAGGGGCCCAGTGGAGGGCACAGTCCTGGTGAATGTCGATTGTGACTGGATCCTGGCAATGGCTCTGTAGCAGGAGAGGAGGTGAGTCTCTGAATCTCGTTTGTGGTAGAGCTGATTTTCTGCTGTACAGGATGAGAGAGAGTAGTCTGACATGACTCCAGGATGTTTGCCTCTAGGTGACGGTGGGGACGCCATGTCTGAGACGGGAAGTCAGAAGTAGGAGTAATGGACAGAAGGACTGTCCAGAGTTCCATGTTCCCATGCTGAGTCTGAGATATTGCTGGGGTGTCTTGCGGGAGGTCCCGCAGAGGCCTGGGGAAGCACTGCGTGCTGGGTGGCATGTGGGGAACACGGTGAGATGCTGAAGTCCTGGGGCTGAGGTGGTGGCGTGGGGTGGGGTGGGTTGGGGGTCACGGTCAGGCACGTGAGGGAGCTGTGACCCTGCAGGGCTGGGCAGTGGAGAGGGAGGGAGTGTGAGCATGGACTCAGAGCCCTTGTCCCCAGGCTTTACTCCAAGGGTCTGAGCACAAGTGTCATTGTATGTGATGTGATCTGTGTGATCTCAGGAGAGTTGACTCTGAGGAGAGTGGCTGGGGGTCTGTGTGGCAACCACAGAGCGTCTGTGAGACTGCTTGTCTCCCTCTCTATTTTAACTGAATGACGTAACACTAGCAGGTTCCTGTGGCATCAGGGCCTGGTATGTCCTCTGAGCTGGGTCACTGGGGTGGACGACCATGAACTGGGGGTCCTGGTTGCAGAGGCTGCTGTGAACTCACTTGTCCCCCTCATGACAGGGCCATGTGATCTTTGAGGATGTGGCTGTGTCCTTCTCCCAGGAGGAGTGGGGTCTCCTTAACAATGCTCAGAGACTCCTGTACTGTGACGTGATGCTGGAGAACCTGTCACTTATAGCCTCCCTGGGTAAGGACCCCTGTTCCCACACCATTGCCCCATATGGGATTCTGCCCTTCTTTTTGCATGGCTCACCCCATCCTTCCGAGCCTGGACCTTGGACACTGCTTACTTCCCTGATTTCCTGTCACTTGAGCTGTGTTCCCCCACCCTGTGTGTTGTTCAGCCCTATACCATAGATGTTGAAACCTTTCACAGAAGGCTTTGGTCTCAGAGGCTTGAAGCCTGCCCGACTGATACCACTTAGCTTTGCCACCAGTTGTTGTGTTGACTGTTCAGATGTGTGCAAGGTCCGTGTCACATGTTCTAACCTTTTTTTGTGCACTGCCTGTGTCAGGAATTACAGACACTTACATGGTCACCACTTGTGGTCAACCCTAGATTATGTTTGCAAGACTCCTTAAGGTTCTTCTAGTGATACATCTTTTTCCTGAAGCCTGTCATTGGTTGGTTCACTCTGGGCCAGTGTCTTTCTCCTAGTGGCCCTATTTTCCTGTGAGGACTTTGATCTGGTAGGGTTCATAGTCACCCAGCCTGAGCTGAGGGATGGAGACAACCCTGGGTGCCTGGCAAGGTAGGGCCCTCTCTAGTCATAGGAGGAGGGTTAATTGCATCCTGGGCCTGGTGAGTAGGAGCTGTAGGAAGGCGTGATACATTGATGAGTTCTAATCCTATAGGGAAATGTCCTTTCTCCACGACTGTTTTAGTCTTAAACTCATCATGGCTGTACCTCATTCTGTCGTTCTTCCCCACTTTGACACTTTGCCCCTTTTATGTATCTGCTGTGGGTTCTTTCTCCTGGCTCTTTCTATCTCAGTGTCATCCACATTTCTCCTTTTCCTCTCACTCTGCAATGTTGTCTAATAGTCTCTTCTTAATGTATCTTGGGAGGTGAAAGTACTTATATAGTCCTTGAACTCTTGGTAGTCAGGTGTGAATGGTGTGAATGCCTTTTCCTGGAGTGGGACACACATTCTACCCAGTACAGTTGTCACCACCAAAATATTCTGCTGAACACCGTCGGCCGAGGAGTGGGTTGTTCCCGGCCTCTACTCCTAGTACAATGCCATATCCTGGTGTCCTGTGTTCTTGCTGTTTATAAGATCTCTCCCTATTCTGTGACCATCAGAGGTCTAGTACTCACAGTAGCCCCTTCTTCTACCTGTCTGCCTCCCTTGTTTGAATCCTGCACAATGGACTTCTTCTCTGATGTGTCATACAAAAGCTATAATGGGCTCCTGTCCCACAAAAGTCTCCATGCAATTTATCAGTTTTTTTTTGTTTTCCTTTCAGGTTTTTGGCATGGAGTAGAAGCTGAGGAGGCCGTTTCTGAACAATGTGTTTCTGTAGAACAAGTGACGGAAGACAGGAATCCAAAACTGGAGCCATCTATCCTGAAGCCTCTTACTTCTGTTACAAGTGTCCTGGCGGAGAAAGATGTTTTGTACTTGGCTGACAATATGTTCACGTGCGGAGAGGTTGAGAAGGCTTTCCTAGGCAGCTTGGGCTTTCCCCAGCACCAGCCCTCCCATGATGGAGAGCATCCACGTAGAAGCAGGCGGAGCAGGGAGGTCTCTCACCCTGGGCAAGGGCATCATAAGTGCAGCGAATGTGGTAAAGCCTTCAGTAAAAAGTTTAAATTCACGGAGCACCTGAGAGTTCACACTGGAGAAAAACCTTATGAGTGCAGTGACTGCGGGAAGTTCTTTAGACACAGCTCCAGTCTTATTCATCATCGGAAAGTTCACACAGGAGAAAGGCCTTATGAATGCTGTAATTGTGGGAAAGTCTTTGCCCACAAATATAAACTTTTTGAGCACCAGAGAATCCACACTGGAAAAAGACCATATGAGTGTAATGAATGTGGGAAAGCCTTCCTTCGCAAGGATTCACTTGTTCAGCACCAAAAAATCCACACTGGAGAAAATCCTCATAAGTGCGGTGAATGTGGAAAGTGCTTCCTGTACAAAAATAACCTTCTTGTGCACCAGAGGATCCACAGTGGAGAAAGGCCTTATGGGTGTAGCAAATGTGGAAAGTCCTTTGTCTTCAAAAAAAGGCTTCTTTATCACCAGCGAATCCACACTGGAGAAAGGCCTTACATGTGCAGTGAATGTGGGAAAGCCTATGTCTACAAAGGAAGTCTTATTGTGCATAAGAGAATTCACACTTTAGAGAAGGCTTATGGGTGTAACAAATGTGGGAAATTCTTTACAAGCAGTTTTGCCCTCAATAGACATGAGAATGTTCACACTGCACAAAGGTGTTATGAGTGCAGCGAATGTGGGAAAGCTCTCAACGGCAAAGTTAAACTTGCTGAGCACCAGAGAATCCATACTGGAGAAAGACCCTATAAGTGTAATGAATGTGAGAAAGCCTTCATGCGCAAGTATACACTTGTTCAGCACCAAAAAGTCCACACTGGAGTAAAGCCTTTTAAATGCAGTGAATGTGGGAAGCCCTTCACTTACAAAACAAGTCTTGTTGTCCACCAGAGAATCCACACTGGAGAAAGGCCTTATATGTGCAGTGAATGTGGGGAAGTCTTTGTCTACAGAAGAAGTCTTGTTGTCCATCAGAGAATCCACACTAGAGAAAAGCCTTATGAATGTAGTTCTTTGTAAGCAGCTCCAAGCTCACAAAAAACAAAGTTCACACTGGGGCAATGCCTTCTGGACTTATGCTTTCCTTCACTTGAGTTAATATCTAGCAGCACAACTCCTATGTAGTAGAGTAGGTGAATGTACACCTTATATGTGGCCAGTCAAACTTTTCTAAAATGGTAGTATCTTTTTATACTCTCACGAGAAGCAGCAGAACATGAGTTCCTGTTTTTTACATTTTTACCAACACTTGGTATGTTCAGGCTTTCTAATTTCAGTGATGTCATATGTGTATCTAGTGATTTTAACTAACATTTCCCTATTGACACAATGTGAGTGGTTTTCCATGTGTTAATTTCCAACCATATTTCTTTATTTCTTTTTAGTTTTTATTGGAGTATAGTTAATTTACAATGCTGTGTTTCAGGTGTACAGCAAAGTGAATCAGACAGCCATATTTCTTTTTTGAAATTTCTGTTCATATAATTTTGTCATCTTAATTACTGAGTTTTGATGTTTCTTCATGGATTATTGATTAAGATCCTCTAATGGAAATATTTACCAATATTCTTCCAGACTTGTTCTTCTCATTTTAGTCACTTTTCCAGAGAAAGACTTTATTTATTTTTTTGGGGGGGGGTGGTTTTGGACATGCTGTGGCATGCAGGATCTTACTTCCCCAAACAGGGATTGAACCTGTGCCCCCTGCCGTGGAAGCGCAGAGTCCTAACCACTGGATCTCCAGGGAATTCCTCAATATGAAGCTCAGAATCCACTTTTCAATTTGTGCATCACAAAAAAATCCTACTAGAATTTTGACTGGGATTGCATTTAATCTTCAATTTAGAAAGAAATACTGAGTGTCCCAATCTATAAACTTGATAGATCTCCTTTTATTAAGATCTTGCTTAATTTTTATTAGTGGTCTTTTTTAGTTTTCTGTTTGTAGGTCTTACACATCTCCAGGTATTTTCTACATCTTATGATATTGTGAAAGGGAATTTTAAAAAATCTTCAATTTATGAATTGTTCATACCTATTACACTTAGAGAGATATAAAACTAAGGACAGAAGTGATCTTTCTTTTTTTTTTTTTTTTTTTGGCGACGTGTGGGACCTCAGTTCCCTGGCCAGGAATTGAACCTGGGCCATGGCAGCAAAAGACCGGAATCCTAACCACTAGGCCACCACGGAACTCCCTAGTAGTGATCCTTCTTAATCTTATAAATAACATCTACAAAGAGCTATTAGAAATACTATCCCTTTGAACCATTATTAAAGTATTCCCATTAGAATAAAAGGAGGACAGCTGCTCTTTGTTCTCTTATTCAGTATCATCCTGGAGTTCCAATTTCATTCAATACAACAACAAAAAAATACGGCAAAATAATGAATATTTAGCAATTGGAAAGGAAGAAATAAACCACCTAAAATATGTCCACAGTTTTCATCTTCACTATGAGTCCAAATATGGACACTCAGTTTAGTGTCTGGACCCATCATAAACTCCTAATTTTTTCGTCACCTATTTGCTGCCCTTCTTACTTCCTTAGAACCCATCACCTTCTATTACACTATGCAACTTAATATCATAGATGAACTGCTTATTGTATATTTCTATCAAATACAGACTAAGTTCCAGTAGGGGAATATGTATTTACATGTTGTGCACTGATATATTTCATATTCTTAGAAACATGTCTGAAACACCTATGGTACATATTGATGTCTTGAAATACATAACAAAATGACAATGCTCATTTAACGTTCAGTTGCACAACTGTGGGTATACTTTCTAACTCTCCTTACCCAGCCTTTCTCCTCACCCTGCCTTTTCCTTCAGTTTTACTACCCTCAAAATGCTCTGAGTTATGGGACAAATCATATTTTGCAAAAAGCCTTTAAATCAACTAAAAAGTCCCAATAGTTATTTTATTGGCTTCCTTCTCTTATTAGATCTCAGAGGGTTTTTTTTCTCACATTCCATTGGGAGTTTGATTGTTTATTTCAAAAACAGGTTTTCCGCCATCAATTTCTGTCACTGCTGGTGCATATCTATCCTTTTTTTTTTTTTTTTTTGACTGTGCGACATGCAGGATATTATTTCCCCGACCAGGGATCGAACCCACTCTCCTTGCAGTGGAAACGTGGAGGCTTCACCCCTGGATCACCAGGGAAATCCTGATATCTATCTCATTAAGCACTTTTAATAGCTCTTGGTAGTTACACAGTCCCAAATGTTTTTCAGAGTTTGTCTCCTCTCTGTCTGCAGACACTGTCAGCGCACTTACAGGTGATGTGGTAATCACTTCCAAGAGCAGATGACATCGTTGGGTTCTAAACATTTATCTCGGGCTTTTGTGTCCCCATTACAGACTCTCAGTTTCTGCCACGGCAGTCCTTGTTACGGGAGCAAATACACATTTGGTAAGTATCTCTTCAGGTATCTGATTCTTAGAAAACATGTATGTCAGGAAACCCAACAATAACTATTCTTAAAATAAATTTCACTTCCTGAGGTCAGGATAGTAAAAGAGGAACCACCTTAGGAAGGTTATATATATAGATACATAGATATAGACAGATAAGAACAAAGCCATAAAATCAGGAAAGGCATTTGCTGAGGAAACCAGAGGCATGTTGCCCCTCATCAACGTACATCAGGAGTGCCTGACACTTCCCCTTTCTCCTCAGTTGCATTGTTTTGAAACTTGTCTCACTGGCTTCTCACTAAACACACTGACCATAAACAGGGTTCACTGTAGAGGCTTCAAGATAAGGTAGGTTGTGAGTAATAAGATGAAGAAGATGAGCTCCTACTCTGAGTAGAGGCCTAGTGTCTGTGTGGTATCTGCTGATGAGGGGCATGTTGTGTCATGGAGACTTTAATGATTTGTCTCTAAATTTTTATCCTTGGCAGAAGGCTGTTCATTGCATCTCAAGTACTTGGATGCCCTCTTTATCAGTAATCGCCACTCTCTACCCTCCTAGGGCCTTGGCTTCCATTCCTCACCTATAAAAATGGATCCATTCTTCTGTCATCTATCTGTCTATCGTCTACCTCTATATCCTCTTTACCTTATTGTGATTTCATCTCAATGACATAATTTTTTAAAAAGATTTTCTTGGTTTGATGTGGACCATTTTTAAAGTCTTTATTGAATTTGTTACAATATTGCTTCTGTTTTTATGTTTTGGTTTTTTGGCACAAGGCATGTGCGATCGTAGCTCCCTGACCAGGGATCGAACCCTCACACACTGCATTGGAAAGTGAAGTCTTAACCACTCCGCCGCCAGGGAAGTCCCCATTTATAATTTTTTTAGAGAGAAAAAAATTGGACCATACACCCTCTTAGAAGAATTGAATCATCCTACACTCAGTGAGAACAGAGCATTTAAATTAGACCCTTCCTGTGCCTTCACAGAACCTCTATGATAAGGGGAAGTTATCAATCATTATTGTCTGTGACTCACTGGAGGTCATTATGAGTGGATTGGCCCATGACCTCAACAATGTCATGGTTGTCAGACTCTCAGGTTTATGCAAACTTCCAAATTCCCACGATAAATTCTGTTGACATATGTTTTTGTTATTTAACTTCACCTTGTGGTTCCTCTCAATATTCCTGGTTACTTCCCTTGTCAATTTTCTTATTCTGCTTAATTTTCTAATTCTGTAACCTATTTTCATTATACTTGTGGAATTTTTTTTTACTTTAAGAATTATGACTAACAGAACATAGTCAAATTTTAGAAATTTCATATAATATCTAGAATATTTATATCAAAGACATTTACCCATACATTATAACCTGGGAGGGTTTATCACCACTCATTTGGCAATGCTTCCCATGTAATTTCACATAGCAAATAATCCTAATTAGCTTAATATCTCTGGCTCTGAGATTCTTCAGGGGCCCACTAGAGGTCAGAAGAAACTGAATTAGAATTTGATCCTTGGGAATTTTGTCAAAAATATCAAAAAGGTTTTAAAACAGTTGACTAAGAAGTATCATAAGTCACTGTCAAACATGTTTAATTATGCACTTTACCAAAGTGACAATAAAAGATTTCAAAGGCAAATACAGGAAGTTATAATAGATTACTTAAAAGATAAGCTTTACAATCTGCTATCAATAGCTGATATATGTATATATTTGTCTTTATTGAATTTGTTACAATATTGCTTCTTTTTTTTATGTTTTGGTTTTTTGGCCATGAGGCATGTAGGGTCTTAGCTCCCCAACCAGGGATTGAACCCTCACCCTCTCCTTTGGAAGGCAGAGTTTTAACCACTGGACTGAGAGGGAAGTCCCAATAGCTGAACAGTATTCTAAGAAAACACTGTCCTCAACAGAGATGAAACCAAATTTAGATTTTAGCATCATCTTACCCTTAAAATTCATTTACTCAATTAAATTTATTCTATTCTTACTCCTGACCACACACAAACCCCTCCACTCTTCCCCCAGGGTTTCTTTTCCACAAACCTTCTATAACTTTTTTACCTTCAGATTTTTTCCTATGCCTTCTCTTTATCTCTCTCCCTTTTTAACCTCTCTTTAGGTCAAAATTACTTTCTCTTAACTAAGTGTATTTCCTTTCCTTGTACCTTCTTTTTTCTTGCATACAAAGATGTTTTCCTTAGTAATTTTTAGTGTTTTTCATTACATATGTTAATTAGAATTATTCACCTTTAAAACCTTAATTTAAAGTGAAAACTAAGAAGCAAGCAACTTTGAACTATCTTTTACATTAACATTCTGTAAGTTGGCAAAATTATAAATACTATTTATAATTTCTTTTAAAAAGTGCTTTCTTATAGAAAATGTCTCCTGTGGCACCAAACATATATATTTTTTTAAATTTATTTTTGGCTGTGTTGGGTCTTCATTGCTGCGTGTGGGCTTTCTCTACTTGTGGCGAGCAGGGGCTACTTTTCGCTGGGGTACGCGGGCTTCTCATTGCGGTGGCTTCTTGTTGCAGAGCACAGGCTCAAGGCGCGTGAGCTTCAGTAGTTGCAGCACGCGGGCTCAGTAGTTGTGGCACGCGGGCCCTGGGATGCATGGGCTTCAGTAGTTGTGGCGCACAGGCTTAGTTGCTCCGCAGCATGTGGGATCTTCCCAGACCAGAGATCGAACCTGTGTCCCCTGCATTGGCAGGAGGGTTCTTAACAATTGCGCCACCAGGAAAGTCCCTGGCCAAACATTTATTAATAGTCCTAAATATCTTTAATTTCCCTGTAGAAGGAAGCCTATGTTCAGTAATTAATTTCCCAGTGTCTTATTTGGGAACGATCTAGATATTCAATAAACTTCCATCATTTAACTTAACTTAGCAAAACTCAAAAGTTTCAAGTTACCAAAATCTGGAGAGACTTTTTTCTTTTTTTAAATTGATTTATTTTATTTATTTATTTTTGGCTGCGTTGGGTCTTTGTTGCTGCGTGCAGACTTTCTCTAGTTGTGGCGAGTGGGCCTATTCTTTGCTGTGGTGTGCAGGCTTCTCATTACAGTGGAATCTCTTGTTGCAGAGAATGGGCTCTAGGCGCGTGGGCTTCAGCAGTTGTGGCTCACGGGCTTAGTTGCTCTACGGCATGTGGGATCTTCCCAGACCAGGGCTCGAACCCATGTCCCCTGCATTGGCAGGCGGATTCTTAACCACTGCACCACCAGGGAAGCTCTTTTTTTTTTTAATTGAAATATAGTTGATTTACAATATTGTGTTAGTTTCAGGTATACAGCAAAGTGATTCAGTTACATATGTATAATTTTTTCAGATTCTTTTCTATTATAGTTTATTACAAGATACTGAATATAGTTCCCTCTGCTATACAATAAATCTTTGTTGTTTATCTATATTAGTGTGTATCTGTTAATCCAATACTCCTAATTTCTCCCTCTCCCCACACCCCCTTTTGTAATCATAAGTTTGTTTTCTATGTCTGTGAGTCTGTTTCTGTTTTGTAAATAAATTCATTTATATTTTTCTTTAGATTCCACATATAAGTGATATCCTAAATATTTTTATTTCTCTGTCTGACTTACTTCACTCAGTATCATAATCTCTAGGTCCATCCATGTTGCTGCAAATGGCAATATTTCATTCTTCTTTTATGGCTGAGTAATATTCCATTGTGTATATGTACCACAACTTGTTTATCCATTCATCTGTTGATGGACACTTGGGTTGCTTCCATGTCTTGGCTATTATGAGTAGTGCTGCTATGAACATTCAGGTGCATGTATCCTTTTGAATTAGAATTTTCATCTTTTCTTGATATATGCCCAGGAGCGGGATTTTTGGATCATATGGTAACTCTCTTTTTAGTTTTTTTAAGGAACCTCCATACTGCTTTCCATAGTGGCTGCACCAGTTGACATTCCCACCAACAGTGAAGGAGGGTTCCCTTTTCTCTACACCCTCTCTAGTGTTTATTTGTAGACTTTTTAATGATAGCCATTTTGACTGGTGTGAGGTGATACCTTATTATAGTTTTGATTTGCATTTCTCTGATAATTAGCAGTGTTGAGCATCTTTTCATGTGCCTGTTTGTCATCTTTATGTCTTCTTGAAGAAATGTCTGTTTTGGTCTTCTGCACACTTTTTATTGTGTTGTTTATTTGTTTGTTTTTTTATGTTGAGTTTTTTGAGCTGTTTGTATATTTTGGAAATTAACCCCTTGTCAGTTGCATCATTTGCAAATATTTTCTCCCAGTTGTAGATTGTCTTTTCTTTTTGTTTATGGTTTCCTTTGCTGTGCAAAGGCTTATAAGTTTGATTAGGTCCCATTTGTTTATTTTTGCTTTTATTTCTTTTGCCTTGGGAGAATGAACTAAGAAAACATTAATATGATTTATGTCAGAGAATGTTTTGCCTATGTTCTCTTATAGGAGTTTTATGGTATCATATGCTTAAATCTTTAAGTCTTTTTTTTTTCTGCACCACAAAGCATGCAGGATCTTAGTTCCCCGACCAGGGATCAAACCCTTGTCTCCTGTAGTGGAGGCACAGAGTCTTAACCACTGGATTGCCAGGGAAGTCCCAGCCTTTAAGCCATTTTGAGTTTATTTT